AAAAAAATTTATGCATTTGGTTATTACAGGGTTTTACCATGCAGCTCAGACTTGTGGCAATCCTTTTGCTTTTAACTTCCCCAGCACTGGGATTATAGGCGTGTGCCAACAGGTCTGGACTCTGGCCTGCTTAGCTGCCCAGGGGGGCAGTCTGGCATAGTGCTGGGGATCTAACTGGGGTCTCTGTGCTTGCCTAAGCAGGTGCTTTAGTCTGCTGAGCTATCTTGTCAGGCCTTGTTGCTTTTTCAAAATATTTTATTTTATTTTAAAGAGTAAAAACATAAGGAATAACAAACAGAAAAAAAGTCAGAAACAGGGTAACATACAATATTGTTTGTTTTTTTTTAACACAAAAGATATTAATGCATGAGTTTATATATTATAAACTCATACATTATAAACTCATACATATAAGGTATATATTTATACATTATAAAGATATTAATGTATTTAGTTTTTCTAAACTAAAACCATAGTGCTCAGGTTTAATTACAGTGTTGGCACTTTTCAACACATAAGTGGGTTAGTGGTTGCAGTTCAGGCACTTGTCTCCAAGATATTTGTTATCACTGATCTAAAATGTCCCAAAAGGCTCAGGTATTCAGAGGTAGCTGGGGCTTTTGAAAACATGACTGGGCCACAAAGGGTCCAACTGCGAGTGGATTCGTGTATAAATAAGTTCAAAAGCTAATTGAGTTTATGGGGCAAAACTGATACAGCAAGCCATTAGGAGTGCGGTTTTGGAGACAACATGTTGGCCTGACCCCTTCCTTCCTGGCTCTTTCATGCCCCCTCTGCTTCCTGGCTGCAGGGAGATGACCAGCTCTTCCCTGTCCCAACCTTCATTTCTGCCTTTCTGCCTCCGAGCCAGCTGCCAGCAGATGCTTAGGAAACTGTGGCCTGAAGCACAGGTCACACTGGAAAACAAGGGGCTGACGAGATAGCTCAGGGGTCTAAAGCGCCTGCTTAGGCAAGTTTAGGCAAGCTTAGGCAAGTGTGAAGGGATTGCAGTTCCATCCCCTGCACCACATGCAAGGCCAGCCCTGCCCCCAAGGTGGGCTGAGCCAGGAAAAAAAAAATTGAAAAACAAAATATAGATGGAAGAGCAGTCAATGTGCTATGCATAAGATAAATATTCTGCAAGTCGCAGAGAGGTACTCAAGAAGAAATGGTGGGTGACTAGCTAAACTTTAAGAGTCTGACAGGGCCCACGAGATAGCTCAGCAGTCTAAAGTGCCTGCTTAGGCAAGCTTAGGCAGCACAGGGGACCACAATTCGATCCCCATCCCTGGCACCACAAGCCTTGCCAGCCCTGCCCTTAGGGCATGCCGAGCCAGACAAAACTAAATAAAAATAAAGAAAGAATTAATTGTAAGACTGACAATAGCAAGCACTGTGAGTGGGGAATAACCAGTACTGTCACAATTGCTGAGAGAAACATAATATGGGACAGCCACTCCATAACACAGTTCGGGCAGGCTGCTGTGTTCTCTTGGCCTCAGTAGTTGGCTCTCACCCTGAAGAGCAGACTTCTTTTCTATCTGTAGTACACGTAAAACCTTGCTAAAAAAAAGTTTGGTGGTTTTCTTTTAGTGAAAGATATACTTCTATAATCTATCAATCCCACTCCTACTTATCCAAGAAAAATTAAAACATATATCCACATAAAGAATCACACTCCAGGGGCTGGGAGATGGCTCAGTGGAATAAGCACTTCCCTGGCAAGCGCAAGGACCTGAGTTCAATCCCCGGTTCCACCAAAAAAAAAAAGAATCACACTCCAGTGTTCATAGCACCATTATTCATAACCAAAAAATAGATATAATCCAAATGCCCACTGGCAGATAAGTGGATAAAGAAACTATGGTGTACATACAGGGTAGAACACTAGCCTTCGACGAAAGAGCTTAAACCACTTGCTGAACAAAAAGGATGAATCTTGCTGAGCTAGGAGTTTAAAGCCATCCAAGGCAACATAACAGGACCCAATCTTTAAAAAAAAAAAAAAAAAAAAAAGCTTGAAAATATCATGTGTAGGGCTGGGGAGATAGCTCAGCAGTCTAAGCGCCTGTTTAGGTAAGCGCAGGGACTGAGGTTCAATCCCTAGCACCACAGACGCTGTTGGCCCCATTCCTGGGCCCACCATGCTGGCCACCAAGACTGAGCATGGTGGCACATGCCTATAATCCCAGCACTGGAGAGGCTCAGATGGGAGGATTATTATGAATCCGAGCTGCATAGTGAGACTCTCTACCAAATACATACAATTTAAAAATAAAAAATATGTAAAACAAGCCAGACACAAGGGAGCATGTGCCACATGACAGCATTTAAATGAAGACCAAGAATAAGCAATTCTAATCATTAGTGCTAAACCAGAGTGGGGGGTCGGGCTCACGGTATAGGTGCTCAGAGGAACTTAGAGGGATGGAAACATTCTACATTACAATTCATGTGGTGATTCCACAGGTGTACACGTTTATCAAAAATCAAACTGCCAGGGCTGCGGTTATAGCTCAGTGGCAGAGCACTTGCTAGCTTGTTTGAGGCCCTGGTTCAATCTGCAGCCCAAAAGACAGAAAGAGAAAGAGAACTCAAAGTGTACACTTACAATCTGCATGCTTTTCAGTGAACTTTAATTTTATCTTAATTTTTAAAGCTAAAATAAGGTGGAACTAATTCAATATACCAGCTACAAAGCACCAGTACTGATATTCTATAACTGTAGAATAAACTACACCCAGTAGCTTAAAATAACAGTCATTTATTAAAGAGTTCAGCCCCATGACAGAAACCAAGGTCAAATGCAGAAATAAGAAAGCGACAGCCCCTGCCTACAACCTCATAAATGTGTACATATCCTCTGAGCCTTTAGCACTCACTGTTCACAGGCACCGACAGCAGCTACCATTTCACATTAAAAGTTCTCAGAAGGTAAAAGGCAACCCAAAAAATTAAAATCAGCCAAGCCTGGACTGAATGACCCTATTTAAAAAAAAAATATCCCCAATGCTGGCAAAAGAAAAAAATACAGAGCCAGGTGTGATGGTACATGCCTGTAATCCCAGCACTGGGAGGCTGAGGCAGGAGGATCATTGCAAGCTTGAGACCAGCCTGGGCTACAAAGTGAGCTCGAGGCTGGGCTGTCCTGCATGGTAAGACTCAAAAGACAAAAATTAATAATAGTAATAGGACTGAGGATGTGGGCCACTGTAAAGGGCCTCAGTTTAATCCCTAGTACTTTGGGGTGGGGGCAGCCAGGACTTTTTATACATTCCTGATGATGTATTCATTCAAGAAACATTTATTA